AAATTATTCTCGGTGCAAAAATTCGTAACTGGCTTATATTTTGATAAGTACGAATAAAAGTTAATCAAATCTGTTACTTCAAATCTTTGAAAATGACACTCATAACGCTGTAAATTACTTAGCTCCATTTGTAGACTTTCTGGTGCGTTATTCACGTTCACCTTTAATGGTATGAAAATAATTTAATTCGGACTTGAAATATAACTAAAGTCTTGGAATCTTGGCAACACCGTATTTGCAACAAATGCATAATTGAAATATCTTCGCGGGCCGCATAAAATTGCTCCGGCAACCAATAGTTTGAAACCATCGTTTTAATTGACCAAACTTGAAAGAATTCCTTATTAACAAATATTTGCATTTTTCAAAGTTTCAGAATTTAATCTGCAAAACTGTTAAACGCATGCATTCGGGCATCCTTAACACTTATTCGTAAGCGTAATATGTAGACGAAATTTCGCGTGACTTTGGAAATGATTTTGACTAAGACTACTTCCAAGAATTACAGAATCGGAAGTTCTTTGAAGAAGTTTAATTCGGAGTAATGCCTATTAATATCTAGAAACCCTACGGTTCCTCAGCTTCGTGTGTTATAACCACCAGCTATTACATCTGCGAAGAATTTAAAATTCAATTTTGGAGAAAATTTCCGCATGTAACTTGTTTTGATCAAACACGAAGTGCCACATTAATCAAAAATTTTTGGCACTTCGCATGGATGGAATTTCGTGCGTTTTCGTTGTTGAGCGTGTTCTTTTTCTTCTTCGCCGAGAAGAAAAGAAGTTGAGATAATTGAATTTGAATTCCATTTGAAAATTTTCGCATTTTAAATGGTTCAGGCTTTTGATCATGTTGGTGAAAAATGCTTTGTTCTAAAATTAGTAGTTATTAATGATATTTCGCTGATAAAATTTCAGATTGTGCTTGGGATAAATCTTCAGAAAAATTATTTGGACCTTTTGTTAAAAAATTCTCAATTGTGCATTGTTATAACAAACTTATAATTACCAGTTTTAAAAGTATTACAATTAATGAAGCTTTTCAAGCATCGAAAGTCATCATAAGAAACTGTCTTTGTAAGTATGCATTTCTCTACTATTAAATGATGATGAATCGGTATGTATGTGTGATGTACGTTTATATAAGATGTGATACTGTTTGCATGCATATTGCATATATGTATGTATTGTATGCATGCATGTATTCTATATATATGTACGCTGTATGTATGTATGTATGTATGTATGTATGTGTGTTCGTAGCTAGGAAAGTATCTGTATTCTCGCATTTACAACAGGCGTATGCATACTGACACACAAAGTCACCCAATTTTGAACACGCATATACTTTACCCAAGCATGTGCTCCTCGAAGCCTGAATCTTGAATTTAATTTTTTTACTTCATTGTACGAAGTAAAAAGGAAGTATTGTAATCGCGAAAAGTTTCAGGCAGCATATTTCAACGAAAATATCCATTTTGACCGGGTATCGAATGCAATTTAACGATGTTTTAGCGTGATATCTGTACGTAAGGACAAAATAAAAGACTCGTTTCCTCCAAAAAATTATAAAAAATGCTTTAAAATTAATTCTTACAAGAATTTTTCGTGGCGTCTGTACGAACGTACGTACGTATCTCGCATAACTCAAAAACGAGTAGCCTCAGAACGTTGAAATTTTGTATATAGGACTGCTATAACATGTAAATGTGCACCTCGTATTTTGGTTGCAATCGGCCGTACCAAACGTATATAAATATATTTATATATATATCCCCTCTATTACCCGGGTCAGTCATCTCAGTTTCTTTACTCTTCTATGTTTGTAAATTGTACATTTTTTGCTTTAAAAATGATTGAATTGTGTTGTTTTTATCTTCCGGTTAAGAATTTTATGCCTTTAGTAAATCTGTATGCAATATTTTTAGAATTATTAACAATTTTAAAGTTGTTTAATTGCCGCTTAGCCTGTTTTTAATGGCGGCCATTGATGTTTACATTTGAAACAGCAGACTAGTGGATTTGTTGCCAATCTAAAGAAACTTAGCTTCGCAACAACAAAGATAACGCATTCATTTATTATTGCGAATTAAATCATGCTTAATTCTTTCTGGAATTTTTTCGAAGAAATAAGCGTTTGAGATTTACTTCGTAATTTTTAAGATAGATATTTTGAGTTTTTATGTATTTTTGCCTTCTCGCGGAGTGGGAACTGAATTAATTCAATGAGAAATACTCAGTCGTCTGTGAAAAACTGTTTCTTTTTTGTTTTGTTTCCTTAATTTCTTTTATACATCGTTCTAGCTTTGTTATAGTATTTGAATAGAACATGTGGCAACGATTAGATAATTCTTTAAATGATATACATTTTGTGCATTCTGAGTTATAATATGAACGAAATATAATACTGTTAAGTGAACCTAGCGCCAGAGTGTCGCTATGGTAAACAAAGTGAATTTTAAAGAATGCATTTATTCTATTGGGGTTTATGCGCTGTCGGCGAAGTAGGTTTAATTGAATCTAATAAGTTTAAATAAAATACAAGAAAAAATGCGTATAATTTAATATTCCGTACAAGTAAGTCATGTGGTGTACACATCAGGTTTTTTTATTTCGTTCTTATTTTGTGCAAATTTAAGCAACATTTGATTTAAAACTGAGCGATATAAAAGCTACATTCTGCAAAACGTAAGATTTAATATTTCAAATTAAATCAAAAGAAAAAGGCATTATAAAAGAAATTTTTTGCTACTAGGCAAAACTTAATATATTTAATTTTTGAATTAATAAGCTGAGAGATTTAAAATAAATCTGCTGCTACTGTTCGAAATAAATTATTTTTTTCTCTCTGCTGCCAATTGGAAATGAGTAAATTGTTAACCCAGTAGGGAATGTTAATCCAGAAACAGTATTTTGAGGCATATTATTATTTTTTCTTTCAGATTTAAACTAACTATTATTGATTAAAAAGCTAAGCGATTTTAAAAAAATAAATGCAGTTCTTTATCTCTGTTCCTTATTAATTACTTGAATGGATCAGTGAAATTACACTGGGTGGATATATTAAAATTATTCTATATTTTTCCTTTTTATATAATAATTATTTTAGGCAGCTGGCATCATTCTGGATAAAATATGATTTTTTGTTAAATCCTGAAGGCATAAATATTATTCAGATGTTCCTCTTTTTCTATCTGGTTTAAAAATTTATAAGCTATTACAACTCAGCTATGTGCTTAATTTTTATACGCTAGATTTTACGATATGCTAGCTTTATCTATTATGCGCCCAAACAAGTGCTGGCATTTCACGACGCATAATATTTTTGATTTGTAATTTATCTTTACTGCAAAGTGCCAATTCGCCTAAATGTTGTCATTTAACGTGATATATCACTAGCTTCCAAAATTTAAGTGCGCAATGCAAAATAGCAATTTTTGAAAGCGTAGGGGAAATTAAGTTGCTGTAAATTGTTGCAGATACAGATGACAGTGTGCGAATATTGTATGTTACGCCAATCACGACTGGAAGTCGGAACTTATATTAACCGGGGCAGTCGTTGAAGACGCCAGCATTCTAGGGTTTGAGGAGGTTCATTTAAATGACGATTCGAAGTGTTTGTGACTCTCGTAGGATAAGTTTTAATGCTATTCTTGTTTGTATATCTGAAGCAATACGCTGGCTTGCGGTTGAACACATTGAAGCAAGACGCTCTTTTATGTGGCAATGATCATTCGATAATTTCTCGCATTTAGAAATAATTCCACATAAGTCAAAGAGTTTTCCGGTGACTTTTGTCCTGCTGACGAAGGGTTATCATCCCTTCTGGAAATTGGTAAATTGCTAAAGTAACTAAGCGGGATCGACAAGCGACTTTCACGGATGTTACGTTCATTGTTGCAACCTCATGTGCTAAAACAATATCTGCCAGTACTTTGCGCTTAAGTACCAAGTGCTTATGTTCCACTAACCCTCCAATCCAGACGACAATACTATAGCAGTGACGCCAACATCTCAGTTGAAACGGCTCGGATTGGTGCAACATCCTGTTCACGGACGATTCCAGATCTACCCTGGAATCATATGATAAGCAAGTAAGGTTCTGAAGAGATTGAGGCACATGGAATCAGACCCAAAACAGCATCGAACATCATGCATTCAGAAGTGGCAGAGTCATGGTGTGGGCTAGAATTCCGATGGAATATAGCAACCAGCTACACATCTTTAAAGACGGTTGTGTGACAGCTGCGCAGTATCGGGATGAAATCTTAAGGTAGACCCATTGTAGAACCCATTGTAGAACACTATACTGGAGCAGTTACTTTCTAATTTAATCCCTGTGGGTATTAATGTCTGTCTCCGTCGAATCAATATCTTGAATTCTCATATGGAGTGACTGCCATGTTCCTTCAATTCATTGGTAATATTTGGTATGCCCTCGGTTATGCTGTCGTTGCAAGTTAGCCTCCGCTAGCCGGTCTCTGACAGCTGAAAACTGCCTACTGATATCGTCTGCGAGTGTTTATTAACTTATTGAAGATATAAATAATAGCTGTAAATATGTGTGTAAAGTTCTGAGATGACCACATACCATACGTCTTGTGTGTTTAACTTCAAATACTTAATGACCAAATGTGATATCACCATCACGGCCGTGGGCAGCCAGCTAAATAGTATTAATATTTATGAAGAAATTCTAATGCCTAAGAAAATAAGAGACTGTAGAATAACAGCAAGTGTAAGTTATTTTTATAACTTATATATTAAAATAAAAAAAACAAAATTTTTTTTATTACAAAATAACTTAAACAAAAATAGCTTCTTCAAAGCAAAAATAACTTATTTATTAAAATAAAAGAAAAATCTTGCAAAAGGAAGAAAAACGTATTTATTAAAATTCAAAGCTGCTTTGCAAGTTAAGTTAAAAATTTATTTAATTTTCCTGTATTGAAACTAATATTAATTAATATGAGTAACTTGAGATTTACTTTTTTTTTTCAGAATGAATTGGAGCCTTTGTGGTGGTGTCCTGTCCTTCCACGTAACGAATGTGGCCCTCCATGCCACAGTGGTGGTTCTCCTCATGTATTTTTGCCGAGAGGTGTTAGCGTGGAGAAGGGACGCAGCGGTTATCGCCGCCCTGATGTTTGCATCGCACCCAGTTCACACAGAAGCGGTAAGTGTCAAAATATTTATTTGCTGTTCGTTGAGATTCTTACGTATTCACATAACCACCTTGGACAGAACTTTTTAAAAAAGATTCCTAATCTATATTTATCACAAGTCGTAAATTTACTATGAAAAAAATTAAAAAAAAAAAAAAAAAAAAAAAAAGATTTTAGCAATTTAGATTGCAAAATTTAATTTTAAAATAAGGATTATGTGAGAATGCTTACATTGTTCGAAATTTTTGTGTAACATTTTGCGCTCTACTCCCCAGGTAGACAGCGATCCGTTTTCGCTTCAGAGAACTGCAGAAACTCGGCATCGCACAAACCCCGATAACACCGGCTGTCTACATAATGAATTTTGTCGTTGATGCCTTAAAAATATTCTGTATCCCTGCACACATTTATTTGACGTCTCTACCGTTACTGACAAATTTCAAAATCGCATATTACGTTTAAGGCGAAAATGCCACTGTTTGTTTTTTGAAAGGCCACTGGTATAAGTGCAGTGGCCATCTATTATTTGCCCCCGAATGAGTAGGTATAGGCCCCTTACACTAGCTGTCTAGATTAGCAGTGCCTTTCTGGAACCTCCGATACTCTTCTGGTGCCGAAGTGCTACTATTTTCTGGTGCAAACAACATCGCTGGCCGTGTCACCGGTTCCCCACTATTTTATGTCCAAGAATAAACTCAACCCCAAAAGTAGGCCCTACTTTGGCTGGTGGAGTATTTAATGACGTACGATATGAACGCATGTTCATCATACCTAGCCATTCATTGCTTCTAGATAAAATCCATTAGTTCTTTTACACACCTTGGTTATTGTTGAGCACTTTTGATTTTTTAGAGCCATTGTGATTTACTCGTATTGATTCGTTGACGTACTCATGTGCTTAGGTTCTTCATACCATTGGGCATGGTATGAAATTCTTTCATTATTTGCTGCGATCGCTTTGAGCGAGAAAACAATAATCATTGGGCTTTTCTTTGCATATTGATTTGGATGAGATCACTCTGTGTTGCACAGTTTTAGACCACTTGATGACAGAATATACATTATTTGAACTATGCGCTTTCCCACGACACCTTGATGCCAGAATATCATTCTTTTTGGGTTATGCTCTTCTTCATATGGCTATTATTGTTTGCGAATCTGAGGAAAGGATTTATATTTTGTTCTAGTCTTGGTCTTGTCAGGTGCAGGCTTGATGTTATTATGCATGTGAATAGGTAATACACTGGATCTCCTCCTCTCCCCACGTACGCACAGATCTGAAAGTGTGATATTCATCTTGTAGAAATATGTGGGGATAAGGCCATGGGCTGAGATCAGCCATGTTATTTCTCTACTATGATGGTTAGGGTGAAGTTTATTCTTGGATATTAGCTCGTATGAGCACATGACCTGTTTGGCGGTATCCCACCAGTGTTGTTATGCTTTTTGAAATGCATTTTAAGTTGTTTCCACCCTGAACATGGGCCCATGGGAGCCTGGAAATGTAACGGTTAGTTTTGTTGCATTAATGTCCCTAGCTGCTTCTTTTTTAAAGACATCCGTTTCCATACACTTTTGACAACATGGGCAACAAGAGCCTGATATTCTGAAATTCTGATTGGTTGTGTTATAGGCAGATTGAGCATTTCCTGGATTATTAGGGATCTATTCTTTGGAGAAGTTATTGCATGCATTGTTGGATAAGTTATCTGTAAAAGGACGGAGGGGGGTTGTTAAAGGAGTGGTGAAACGTTTTTTGATGGCTTCTATATTGCGGTTGCTTCTGTTTGGAAAGCACTATTTCCAACATTTAATTGAAAATTTTGTTCTTCTGAGAATTAATTGGCTATTGAGATATACTTTTAGCGCACACATTCCAGACCGGAGCGACCTGTGTAAAAGTTTGGGGATTTGTTTATGAATGGCTCTTTGTTGATGCAGGAAGGTTTACTATTCTTCAAAGCAAGATGTGGCACATATGGGTGCGAGGGAGCTATAAAGCATTTATGCTTTGAATTCTTTTCCATTATGGGTGCAATTCGTTTTTAAATGCAGTACAGCTACCTTTTTCGTGTTTATGCCCCATCCAATTTCTTGCATTCTCATTAGGTTTGTTGCTATTTTAGATATAATCTAGATGGTCCACAAACTTAAGTTTATTTATAAGTGCCAATATATTTTATAGATTTGACAATTTTGATATTTTTATTTTCGATATAGAATAGCTGCTTTTAATTTTCATAAGATGTGATTAATGTTTGAAGCTTCCATAATTCGTTAAAGTTGTTTAATATGTTGCTTACATTATTATCAAGCACGTCTCGAGTTCTACCATTAACAACAAAGGACGCATCGTCGGCGACTGCGATGTATTTGGTGTGCGATGGCCATTTATATCGGAAACTTTTATCGAATGCGAGGTTTCAGAAGTTCGCGCTAAGGGAAGAGCCCTGCGGACAGTCTCTTTTTCTCGCGTCTTTTCGATTAGCCTGTTATTGGAAATTGTTTTACTTTTTCTGTCTGTAAAGCAGTTTTGCTAGGTTTCGTAGATAATTTTCGAGTATTTGATCTCCCTAAGTCTGCCTAAGACCTTAGGTCATCACAGAGAATCAAATACCTTTTTAAGATCGATTCAGACTATCGCCGAATGACGATGCTGAGATTTGTTACTGGAAAATGTGCTTCTATTACGGTATTTAGAATATGTAATGTATTTCTACTCTAAGTCAATCCGAACTGGAATTTACTTGCGCAGTTCTCTTTCTTAACCTTTTGAAGACGGGATGGCCATTATAGTGGCCATAGAGTCCTCTCTTTGAAAAGACGGGGTTGTCCGTTTTAGTGGCCATGTCTTTTTCCCACATTTTTCAGGCTAAAAGGGGTTGAAATTCAAATTTGACGTCCCTAGGGTTTTAACCACTTATCTCTTTCAAAGGTCTTCCTTTTGCGACATAGATGCACCCCTCTCAGAATCCATTCAACTACACACAAGAATCTTTCTTGCAAATAGGAGGAGATTTCTTAAAGGGGGGAAAGCATTCGGTTCAAGATTCCCCGTCCTTTCGCAGCTGTTACTGCTACCAAAGCTCCGGCCTCAAAAGGTTAATGTGATGCCTTAGGCGATTTTCAAGGAATCTCTCAAAGACTTTGCCTAGAGATTATAGTAAATTGATAGGCCTGTAGGAATTTTGGTTTAACACATCATGTCCTTTCTTTTCAAACAGAATAAATTGCTCCGTTTTGAAGCTGGAACAGAAAACCTGAGCCTGCAGACATTTATTAAAAAATTTCAGAAGTAAGGTTGGAAATTGTGAAGGATTTGACTCGGGGATCTTTCGGTTCCATCCGGGCCTGATGCTTTTTATTTGGTAGATATTTGACTAGTCTAGAAATTTCAAAGTCGGTGAATGGGATATCATCATCGGTTGTATTAGAGATCTAAAAGTTGTTTATGTTTTCCTGTGCAAAACTGAGTCATTCTGAGGGTCGTTGCTGAGGAATACATTATTCATTGCACTTTTAATGCCTTCTGTTGTGGCATCCTCTATGCTTTTGGTATTGTATTCCGACTGCAGAATTACAATTTGACACTAGGTGGAAAGCTTTATCTGAGCAAATCTTGTATATGGATCCGCAAGGATCTTTACTGTCTGTTACGAAATTTCTCCAGCATTTAAATTTCGCTTCCTGGATTTTTTTATATATATTGCTCTTTGTTTTCGGAAGAGCATGTATGCATTTGTTATTTTTCTTCAGATCATGCGTTTTCACTTTTTCTTAAGTCTGCGGTTTTGTTTCGAGTGGCCCCTAGTGCAGCTATCTAACAATTGATGATTTTGTTGTCGCTAGAGGCTTTGAGAATGAACGATTTTTCGGAGTGGTTTTGAGCTGTTTTGTGAAGGGAGGTTATCTTATCATTAAGGGGACTCGTACACCTTAAAACCCATAAGATGTTCGAATAGGTGACTGTTGCAAGAATTGGGATATCTTATTTATTTTATAAGCAATTACTACCACTTTTTACAGCTGACTACATAATATACTGCTTCTGAAATAGTGATCAGAAGTTTGTGTTGCCACAAATATTTTTATAATTTATCCGCTTGTGACAACTTTTTCGTCATGTTTCCACCTTGCGCGCACAGTTTAAAACAGTCTGTCGCATACTTTAATTCCATATTTAACGCATAGCTTTTATAACATTTGTAAACTACTGTGAACCAAAAAATTCTAAGAATTTCATGTTAATTGTTTATTTTATTTGGAGTTGAGTTTATAAAATGTATTTTATTTAAAAAATCTGTGATGTTTTCGTGCATAAAATTTCTTAATAATTAAATATTCATCCGGGTTTTGGTTCAGTTAAAATATAGAGCCCATATATAGAATTCCATCAAAATTCAAATATGTAGCATTAGCCATTTGTAAAATATGCGCGCAAGGTGGAAACATGACGAAACATTTTTCTCAAAGAGGATTAAATTACAAAATTATTTGTGGCAACACAAACTTTCTGGTTACTAGTTTCCAAAGCAGCTATATTATGCAGTCAGCTGTAAAAAGTTGGAAGTAATTGCTTTTAAAATAAATAAAATATTCCAATTTTTGCAACAGTCACATATTCGAAGATCATGAGGGGTTTAAGGTGTACGAGTCCCTTTAAACTGGGATTTATTTTAAGTGCTATTTATTTCATTTTTGAAAATACTTATATCATTTGATATTAATTCGGTAGAAAAGCGGTTTCAAAGGAGGTAATTTTGTGTCCTGATATATCCGTATCTTGCAACATAGTCCACGGATTTTTTGGGGAGGAGGGTACTGTGTGATTCACAAGTGTGATATCTCATCATTTTGATCCGCTAATTGTTTGGAAGGTCGAAGGAGTGGTGTTATCGTTGATTATTATTAGGTTGAAGCTGTTGATAATGCCTTCGACCTCTGTGTCAGCTGAATGTCTCCGAGAATAGTCCCAGGTCGAGTTATGTGCGCTGAAATCCTCCCAATCACA